GTCCTGCAGAAGAGATGCAACAGAGGAAGACCCAAGAGATGGTGGGCTCATGGATTGTTATCTGGCAGGGTTGGTTCCAGGCAAACGGTTGGAAAGAGAAAGCGGAAGAAGCAGAATGCCCTTGTTTTTCTGGATGAACCAGTAGAATCTTTTCGGAGGGGTCCTGTGATGACACGGAGTGTAACACAAACCTAACAAAATCCAAAACATAAATAAATATCCTTTAATACCTCCAACTGGGCCCCACTGTTCAATAATTCTCTGTTGGAGATAAAACGTACTCAAAAACAGTCTTCAGAAGAAAGCAATACAGTCCGAACTTAATGAGCAGATAGAGGTGAAATAAAAAAAACTAAAACAAACTACAATGAAGAAATTTCCACAACGGACCAGGATTACCAACTTCAAGGAGATAACAAGGCACCATCTGTTGGAAGGACGCCAAACAAGATAACTTCAGCCCAAAATAAAACAAGCTTTGCTTCTGGTAACATTGTGTTTTAACCGTCTCTCTTAAATACTATTCTCCTCAGCTGCAACCAATGAGGGGGATCATGGCCACTTCCTCTCTCGTAAGCCAAATTGTTGCCTTCTCCGTTCCTCCCTGCGTGATGAAGAGAGGATGGGCCTGGTTCTTCCTCTGACTGCCCAGTTGGCCTCTGCCCTTCCCCAGCCTCCTCCACAACCTCCGGAGCCACACCACCACTCCTTGTCAGCTCTTCCTCCTCTCCTTCAGAGCCCGACTCTAACAAGGCCATGACAGGTCCTTAGTGCTCTCTGATCTTAGTTGTTTTCTTGCTTCCTCACCCATTCTCTGTCGCCCAAGAACAACTTCCTGGATTGGACAACCAGGAAGTCCAAGGGATGCGACGTGTTTTTTTTAAATTCTTCAACGGTTAATGGCAGATATCATTGTCCAGAAAACTGCATAGAAGTGTTTATGAGGTCCTCAGGGAAAATCATGCATTATGTTCCCTGTGATTTATTATGTTTTTATTTATTTCTATCCTGCCTTTATTTTTATTTTTACAAATAATTCAAGACAGCATGTATATTCAAGACACCTTTCCTCTCCTATTTTTCCCACAACAACAATCCTGTGAGGTGAGCTGGGCTAAGAGAGGATGATTGGCTCAAAGTCACCCAGCCAGTTTTCATACCTAAGATGGAACCAGAACTTAACATCTCCTGGTGATTGACCCAAAGTCACCCAGCCAGATTTCATAGCTAAAATAGGACTGGAACTCCCTGTCTCCTGGCAATTGGCTAGCTTTCATGCCTGAAGTTGGACTAGAACTCACACTCTCCCGGTTTCTAGCCTGGTGCCTCAACCACTAGTCCAGACTGGCTCTCAGGAAGTGAAAAGTGGACTTTAAAGAAGCAGGATAAGAAGAGTATTGATGCTTTGAACATTGGAGACACTGGAGAGACTCCCGAGAAGACCATGGGCAACCAAGGAAACAAACAAATGGTCCAACTCAACCCAGAGTTCTTAATCAAGGCACAAATCACCAAATTGTCATTCTCTAGATATTAAAGGTAAAGGTTCCCCTCACACATATGTACTAATAGTTTCCGGCTCTAGGGGGCAGTGCTCATCTTTGTTACAAAGCCAAAGAAGAGCCAGCGCTGTCCAAAGATGTCTCCGTGGTCATGTGGCTGGCATGATTAAACTCTGAAGGCACACAGAACGCTGTTCCCTTCCCACCAAAGGGGTCCCTATTTTTCTACTTGCATTTTTACATGCTTTCGAACTGCTAGGTTGGCAGAAGCTGGGACAAGTAACAGGAGCTCGCTCCGTTACGCGGCGCTAGGGATTCGAACTGCTGAACTGCCCACCTTCCTGATCGACAAGCTCAGTGTCTTGGCCAGTGAGCCACCGCATCCCTTTTCTCTGGAGGCTCAGCCAATCTCATTGTATATATGTACTCTGACAATAAAGGTTTGAATTGATTTGACATTATGCTGGCATTAATGTGGAGATGTGAAGGAAAGAGAAGAAGAGGATGACCAGCAGGAAGTTTGCATAGACTCTATTACCATGGCAATGAATTGGAAGACCTTCACCATAAGGAAGACTAGGCTGCGGAGAGATTTTCCTAGAGAAATTCTATCCATAGGGTCTTCACTGACTTGATGGCACATAATCAATCAATGAAGTTTTTATTTGTGATTTTTTCGAAAGAGAGAAGAAACATTCCCTAAAATAAGTCTCTTAAGCTGACCAGATGTCTAACAGCCCATATGCAGGGACAAACCACTTAGATGAGGATCACAAACTATATATAATACTTATTGAAGGGTGTAGAAATGAATAGTCCAAGAATGTCATCAATTGCTGTGGTTCAGAAACAAGCCCTGTATATGAAAATGAACATCCTCACATCTTCTTGCATGACATTGCCTTCTTAACCCACTCTTTTGACTAGAACAGCCTGTTTCTGTTCATCTGTTCTATTTCTAACAGTGAGATTTGCTGATAGGTTTCTTCCAACCAACTGTAAGAATGAACTGAAATATCAGAGGCTTAACTCATCTATTTTATACTTCTGGGTTTCGGGAGGGGAGAAGTAGGAAAATCTGGGCTTCTCTATTTCAGTACATTTGCTCCTCCAGGAGCTGCAAAAATAAAAGCGGAATAAAACCGAGTTGGTGGCCTATTTACATGGTTTGTCAACATTTTGTCCATCGTCTTGACTTGACTTTTATTTTTATTGATTTTATTTGATTTGTCAATTGCTTACAAGATAATAGGTGTAAGTATAAACATAGGTATAAATATATGGATGCATATAAGAAAAAGAAAAGAAACAATAGGACAGGGACAGTAGGCACATGGGTGCGCTTATGCACGCTCCCTTGTCTGCAGACTTTGGTTGTTGAGACTCTTGTCCTCTTCTTCACGAACTGGTTCACCTGGTAGAAGGTCATGGCTTAAAACCATAGGATTGGAAGGATCATGAAGGTCTTCTCCTCCAACCTTCAGTCCATTCCACATAAATTGTTGCCCATCCTTTGCTTGAAGACTTCCAGTGACAGAGCCCCTAGGAGTACAGGAGACAGACTGTTCCATTGCTTCTCTCATCGCCGTGAAATTTCTTCCTATTCCCAGTTTGGGTCTTCCTCTGTAAAAATTTCCACCCATTGTTTCTTGTCTTACTCTCAGGCCATGTGGAGAACAAATCCATACCCTTTTCCCTGTGACATTCCTTCATGCATTGAAAGACTATGTCTGCCCTGAGCTCTTTATGCACCAAAAACAAATTCCTTGCATGGCCAATAAAGAATTCTATTCTATTCCTTTTCTATTTCTATTTGTTTCCTATTCTATTCTATTCTATTTCTATTCCAATTCCTATTCCATTATGTTCTTATTCTAATTCTATTCTATTCTATTCTATTCTATTCTATTCTATTCTATTCTATTCTATTCTATTCCTATTCCTATTCCTATTCCTATTCCTATTCCTATTCCTATTCCTGTTCTATTTCTTTTTCTATTTCTATTCTATTCTATTCTTATTCCTATTCCTATTCCTATTCTATTTCTTTTTCTATTTCTATTCTATTCCTATTCTATTTCTATTCCTATTCCTATTTCTTATTCCTATTCTATTCTATTCTATTCTATTCTATTCTATTCTATTCTATTCTATTCTACTCTATTCTATTCTATTCTATTCTACTCTATTCTATTCTTTAGATGAAACATCTCCAGCAACATTAATCATCCTTCATCGGTCTTAATCCATACATCCTTCAACATAGTTTGTTCAGAAAAATGTTTCCAGTTACTCAGCATCCTTCTTGACTAATTTAATATCTACTCCAGGCATGAATGAAGCCATAGACCCCCCAGAAGATTATCCACTCTACTTTCCTGCTCTAGAGTTTAATTTTAGGCATTTTCCTTTCCCCAATCCAACAGATTCTTCTCTCGCTCGCTTTGAAGGCATCTGATCTCCATTAATATCATGGTTTCTCTCCAGTCTGGAGATCATCAGTTCCTCCCTCAGCAGCTTAATTCCTGGCACATTTTATTTTTTTATTTAAATATTAATATTTAATATATTATAATATATTAAATATTATAATTGCTATGGAGCAGGGATGTCAAACTTGATTTCATTGAGGGCCGCATCAGGGTTGTGTTTGACCTCGGGGGGTGGCCAAGGTGGATGTGGCTAGCTCGACATCACTCATGTCAGGGGTGCCTGTGATGGCCCAGGCGATCTGCCAGTGAAAACAGGCTCCCGAGCTCCGTTTGGGCTGCGACAGCCTCCTGTAAAATTTGGAATTTGATTTTGACATGCCCCTGTTGGAATCTGATTCAGAGGAGGAGGCCAAGCAGCTGACGAGGAGTGGGAGTATGGCTCCATTGGCTGTGGAAGAAACTGGGGAAAGGCAAAGGCCGGCTGGGCTGAGCAGGGAGATGAGAGGTAGAACAAGGGAGAGGGAGTTCAGAGGAAGACCCAGGCCCACCCCTCTTCATCCTCGGGCACGCAGGGAGGAACGGAGAAGGGAGCAATGTGAGTTGTATGGCTTACAGGGGAGGAAAGAGCCCTGATTCCCTTCATTAGTTGCAGCTGGGAACACAGTGTTTAAAAAGGGAGGTTGTGCACAGCAACTCGTGAGAAGCAAATCATGAGTTATCTTTTATTGTTGAGGCTTATCTGGGTTCCTGGTGTCTTCCCAAGTGTGTGTGTGTTTTGTTGGCCTTTGAAGTCTACAATTCCTTGCCCTGTCAAGTTAATCACTGCAGCGTGTTTTGTGTGGATTTTTATTTACAGTTTATATGTACTTTGTTTTCGGACTGAATTTCCTCCACTTAAAGACTGTGCTTGGGAGTGTTTTTTCTCCAGCTGAAGGTAACTGGACATTGGGGGCAGAGTTGGAGGCAATTAAATAGACTTTTCTTACTTATGTGACTGTGTTGCCTTTGTGCTACGCCCCAGGTCATCACAGATTTTCATTTAGCCTTCTGTTCTGTTCTTCTGCAGCAAATTGCCTAGCTGGGCTCGGGCAGTAACACCACGGATCTTCTATATCACCGAGAAAGCCTGGAACTATTACCCATATACCATCACAGGTAAGGAGGAAACCCTAATGGTGTATGAGAATGACCTTGGCAGAGAGGAGAGAAAGCCACAACTTGGATAACTGGTGCGTAAAAGGTATCTCAGCCCACAAAAAGGGTTAATCAGATGTATTTCAGGAGGGATCCTCCCTGGTTTTCTGGAGAGGGAAAGGAAAAGAGGGGGGGGAAATACCTTCAGTCTTACAACCTTACAATAGAGATAGAGCTACTACAGGCGGTCCTCAACAACTGAGCCCTCCATTGCTAAGTAAGGCTTTGGTTGAGTTTTGCTCCGTTTTATGACTTTTCTTGCCATAGTTGTTAAGGGAATACACAGCAACTGTTCAATTAGTATCACGGTTTGTTAAATGAATCTGGCTTCCCCCGTTTTGCTTGTCAGAAGGTTGCAAAAGGGGATCACTTCACCCTGGGACACTGCAACCGTCATAAATGTGAGTCAGTTGCCAAGCATCTGAATTTCAATCCCATGACCATGGGGATGCTTCAAAAGTCAAAACTGCCCATAAGTCACTTTTTTCCCCCAGTGCCGTTGTAACTTTGAATGGTCACAAAATGAATGTCAGGATTCCAGCAATCGCCCTAATTAAATCATGAGCCTCGAACCAAACTTCAAAATGTTTATTAGGAGTGACATGCTGGCATGACTTGTATGAAGCTGACTCTGAGATGCGTAATTTGCAATCGCCTGTGACCCTGTTTCCCCCCCACCCCTGTGGGTGTATCATAATTCAGATTGTCCAACGAAACACGTTCATGGGCTGGGTGTCATCAATCACACTCTCCAATAGAGGATTTTCGTGCCCCGAATACCTGGTTGCCTCAGTTACAGACTTTGTGAGATAAGCTTGGAATGTGCTTCTGAGTTCATTCTCCATATGCTCCTTCAGGGGGATTTTTTCTGCCCTCTTTCTTATGGCAACTTGGAAACAAGCATAGTAATGTTTAACAACTTGACATTGAACCGTGGTAAGTCACAATCTAGTTATACTCCTGGTTGTGCTTCTTGTTTGAACTACCTCCCAGGGTTAACAGAAACACTTGGACAGTCCATTTAAAAAAAAATCTGCAAAAAGGTTGTCTATCTTGATTGAAGTGTGTTGAGTGAACTCAATCTTTCGATCCTTTGCAAATTGCTCCATCTTTAAAAAGATCCCTTACCAAAAAATTTTGAGATCTTAGATGTATGGCAAGCTACTCCCTTGGTCTTTTATTTAGCAGTAATTGGATTTTCCTGCTAGATTTGAGCACAAGAGCCATCTGAATGCTCTTACAGCTTTGAAGTTTACTAAAACACCATCATGGCTACCCCGGGTTACAAAGTGAGTGGCTTTAGTTGCCCAGAAAATGTGTAATGCATAATTCTTCCTTCTCTCCAACCTTAGCTTTATCTCTTTCTCTGTCTCCCCTTTGCTAACTTGGGATACCTGGAATTAACTCACAATGGATGCAGAGTACACAGTAAGTACTAAGGGGCCTTCTTACTTTCGGTACTTCTCTGGCAGAATAGAAGAGAGAACTCAAGAACACCATAAGTAACTTCAAGGCGTTCAGTGGAGTCCTGGCTGATCTCTGAGATTGGTTATTTTCTTGCCAACGCTTCATAACCCAACTAAGTAACATCATCAGTGCTAGAAGGGAGAGGGGTTTACTCCCCATTGATATACCCGTGGTTGCCCTGTCAGTGTTGGTGGGTCTGTTCTTGGTGGTTACTTGATCAGGTTGTTGTTTACTTTTGGTTTGTCTGAGTTGCAGACTAGTCTTTGCAAAAAAAGGGGAACATCTGGAGGGCTTCTGCATTTTTCAGCAGGAGCACAAAAAAATTCAGTGGAACTGAGTAGAACTGGGTTTCTAGTCTTCAGGATTTCAGATTTAATACTTGAAGATTTGCAGATGGTTCCCAGAAGTTATAAGAGTGACGGAATGAGATTTACTGCAGGTCCATTTTTCATCAACTATAGCATGTGAAAGAAAGGTTTAAACTCATCCGTTTTGTTTTGTTTTTTTCATTTCTTGGAAAATGGCTTGGTTCATATTGGTAGCTTTATAGGCAGGAAAGGGTAAATAGCACCTTATGTGGATGGTGAGTAGATGACAGACAGTGTGGTTTAATGGTTAAGGTAGCAGGCTGGAAAATGGGAAACTGTGAGTTCAAGTCCTACGTTAGCCATGAAAGCCAAGTGGGTAACTTTGGGCCAATCACCAGGAGATGGTGAGTTCTAGACCTGCCTTTGGCATGAAGGCCAACTGGGTGATTTTGGACCAATCACCAGGAGACAGTGAGTTCTAGCTGTCATGAACCAATCACCAGGAGACAGTGAGTTCTAGCTGTCATGGACCAATCACCAGGAGACAGTGAGTTCTAGTTATGAAAGCTAGCTGGGTCTTCTCACATTCTCCATTTCTCTTTCCTTTTACAGTGTTCGTTTCTGCCCAAATTTTCTATCTACATAGAGACCAAGTATGAAGATAATTGTGGAAATAGCACCAATGTAAGTGCAACCCATACAGAACTACTGGTAGAAACAATGCCCCCATTTCATCCTGTCTAGCAATTTTCAGGGGGACATGCAGACATGGTGGGAGTTATCTATGCATTAAATTGGTGACTAAATGTTAGCTTGGACAACCCCCATCAGGGGAATCTCACTCCTGGCTGGAGAATCCTGGAATTGATGTCCACATATCTTCCAAATTGCCAAAGTTGAGAAACACTGCATTAAATTATTATCCCACCCTGAGAAATTGCATCTGGGCTTGCTTATGGGAAGACACGCTGAGGAACAGTTGAGTGTCACCTGCCAAGGTGCCATTGAGCCTTGCTGATGAGGTGAGAAGAGTCAAGGCGAGGTGGGATTCATTATTGCCATCAGGGACTCAGGCAAGGGAGCAGAGCTTCCAAAGAGACCTTGTGATTCAGAGGAACTTGAGAGTGGCAATAGCAATAGAAATAGCCCTTAGACTTATATGCCACTTCACAGTGCTTTTACAGCCCCTTCTAAGCGGTTTACAGAGTCAGCCTCTTGTCCCCAACAATCTGGGTCCTCATTTTACCCACCTCGGAAGGATGAAAGGCTGAGACAACCTTGAGCCAATCAGGCTTGAACTCCAGACTGTGGGCAGAGTCAGCCTGCAATACCACATTCTAACCACTGCGCCACCAGGACTCCTAATGCAACATCCAATCAACTACAGCATTAGCAAGAGCACTAGACTTATATACTGCTTCATGGTGCTTCCCAGCCCTCTCTAAGCGGTTTACAGAGTCAGCCTTTTACCCCCAACAATCTGGGTCCTCACTTTACCCACCTTGGAAGGAGGGAAGGCTGAGACAACCTTCAGCCTGGTGAGATTTGAACTGCCAAATTGCAGGCACCCAACAACACTGCACTCTAATTACTGTGCCACTGTGCAGTGCACAACAGGATAACAGAATTCAAAGAAACATTGGAGGTCTTCTAGTCCAGCCCCCTGATTAAATAGTAAACCCTCTACCATTCCAGACAAGTGGTTATTGAATCCCTTCTTGAAAACCTCCAGTGATGGAGCACTCACAACTTCTGAAGGCAGCTTCTGTTCCACTGGTTAATTGTCCTCACTGTTACGAAGTTTCTCCTTAGTTCTAGCTTGGTTCTTTCCTTGATTAGTTTCCATCCATTGCTTCTTGCCCTGCCTTCAGGTGCTTTGGAGAATCACCTGAAGGCAAGATAATGGATGGAAAAATTAATGACAAGCCAAGCAAGGAAAGTATGCGTCGTAGACTAGCCATCCCTGCTTGAATTTACCATTCCTCATTAGCTGAGAATCTGTGTTTTCTCTCACTGGCAAGTTGACAGGTCCAATGTTTTTCCCTTGCTCTCGCAGATATTTCTCAATGAAAAAATCTTGGGAGACCATGAAGTGTTGTTCTTGGACATTGCTTTTGATGAAATCCCAGTCCGCTACTACAGGAGCTTAGAGGTAACAACCTGTTGCGGAGGGTGTGCATGGTTGGTGGGTGGCTCTGGCTTCTCCAACTTAACTGCTCATTCCTGTAAATGGTATGTAGGAAAGACCTTGGTAGACTGGAGGAAGAACTTCAGGTTGCTCTGCTTCTGGAGTCAGAACAAATTCAGTCCTAGCTGTAGTGTTAGTTCATGGCAGTCTGCAAATTGGTCCCTTGTACATCTACCTGTTGCTGGAGTTGCAACAATGCTGCTCTTGGGGGCTTGGTGGATAGAATCTCCAGGGGATCAAGGGTCAAAAATTTCTCTTTGGAAAAAAAAAAGTATAAGATTTGAATTGAAAGTCTGAAGAGATGCTCAGTCATCCAAGTCATGGTGGTCCCAGAGGGTAGCTGGATGACTGAGAATCTGAACAGACATTTTAGCTATCCAGTTTGGAATGGATACCCTTGGAATGATGCAGGAGTAGGCATGGATTTCCAGACAGAGAACTTGCAGAACTTGCAGGAACCAGGAGCACCACTCAGGTGATCCTGAGGGCCCAGATAAACTTCCAAGTGGCCTCAGCAACCCTCTAAAAGGATGCAAATGACCAACTGTCTGCAAGGAATATAAATCCTTTCATTCACCTCTATCCTGTCAGAGCTGAAGAAGCTTCTTGGATAAGAAGTGAATCATCTTCAAAAGTAAAAAAAAAACACGAAAGTCCAGTTGCCTGACGAAAAGAGCATCTTTGTCACAACCATGATCTGGTTGACTGAGAATCTCTGCAGACTTTTAGCTATACAATTTGGGACAAACACCCTTGGAATGGTGTGGGAGTAGGAATGGATTTCCAGAGGGGAAAATTGCAGACTGCAGAAACCAGGAGAACCACTCAGGTGACCCTGAGGACACAGAAAAACCTCCAAGTTCTTCCATGACTCTCTAAAGCAGAGCTGTCAAATGCCCAGCCCATGGGTTGGATGCATCACAAGCCGGCCACATCCACACCCAGTTTAACAAAGGGGAAAAAGTCCCCATATGTCACATGACGCCGCCGTGACAACTTGATTTTGATTCTAAAAAGGATGCAGATGACCAGCTGTCTGCAAGGAATATAAATCCTTCCATTCCCCACCATCCAGTCAGAGCTGAAGAAGCTTCTTGGATGAGAAGTGAAATGTCTTCAGAGAAAAAACAAGGAAGTCCAGTTGCCTCCTGAAAAAAAAAGCACCTTTGAATTGAAAAAAGCGTAATTGATATCAACCTTTTGACGGTCAGTTGGTTAATTTTACAGGTACTCCTTGACTTAAAAACATTCATTTACTGACCGTTCAAAGTTATAATGGCATTGAAAAAAAGTGATTTATGACCATTTTTCACACTTACGACTGTTACAGCATCTCCTTGGTCAGGTGATCAAAATTTGATTGTTATTTTTTTTTCTATTGGCTATAGGATCTCCGGTCCTTCTGCTCAGTTAAGACTGGTCGCGGGCCACTACAGGAAGGCTGGCGGGAATATACAAAGCCCATCATGTGCTCTTACAAACTGGTGACGGTCAAGTTTGAAGTCTGGGGACTGCAAACACGGGTAGAACAATTTGTCCATAAGGTGAGATTGTATTTTTGCCCGCAGAGGGATCTGCAGGGAAAGCTGATGGCTGGAGATGAATAGGCTGAAGTTGCCAAAAAAAAAGCCAATACCATCTTGGGCCACACCAACAAAGGGAGAACATCAAGATCATGAGGAGTGATGGTACCACTTTATACCATATTAATGAGGCCAGATTTGGAATACTGTGTCCAATTCTGGGTCACCATGAAACCAAAAAGATACTGAGACCCTAGAAAGAATGGAGAGAAGAACAACAAAGATGGTTAGTGGTCTGGAGTCTAAATCATATGATGAATGATTAAGGGAACTAGGTATGTTCAGTCTATCAAAGAAATGGATTGGGGGAAGATAGCTGTCTTCCAATACTTGAGTGATTGTGACAAAGAAAAGAGGATTGACTTACTATTCAGGAGTAGGACGTGGGTGGAAGCTTGTTAAACAGAGATCCAACCTAAAAGTAAGGTGAAGTTTCCAGATAGTGGGAACAATGAATCAATGGAATAGATTGCCTCCTGGAGTTGTGGATGCTCCAATGCTAGAGGTTTTCCAAAATAGACTGGACAACTATTTGACTGGGATGACAGAAGGTCTTCCACCTTGAGCAGGGGGGGTCAGACTAAAAGACCTTCGAGATCTCCTCCAGCCTATGATTGGACAGTATCTTCTGTGAGAACCACTTCTGCAGTGAAGTGGGAGGAAGTATCCCAGAATTCAAGAATCCTTATTGGCTGATCTGAGAGAGGCTATATGGATGTTGTTGTTGTTGTTGTTGTTGTTGTTGTTGCTGGGACAATGGCTTTCCTGTCCCATAGGAAACACGAAGTCACAACGCATCTCTCATCCATCTCAATTTGTAATCAGGAAAGCCATTGTCCCAGCAACAACAACAACAACAACAACAACAACAACAACAACAGGGGTTGGACTAGAGGTCTTTTGAGGTTTGAGGTCTTTTGCAGGTAATTCAGCCCACCCAGCACCTGGATTTTGATCATGTGACCATGATGCTGCAATGATCCTAAGCGTGAGGACCAGTCATAAGTCCCTTTTTTCAGTACTGTCATAATTTTGAATGGTTATTAAACACAGGGTTGTAAGTTGAGGATTATCTGTACTATAGATCCAGTTTTGCTTGGATAGCTCCTTAGATCCTCCATATTAGCAGAATAACAGAAAAACGAAGTTGGAAGGGGCTTTGGAGGTCTTCTAGTCCAACTCCCTGCTCAAGCAAAACTGGGTCTATAGTACAGATAATCCTCAACTTACAACCCTGTGTTTAATAACCATTCAAAATTATGACAGTACTGAAAAAAGGGACTTATGACTGGTCCTCACGCTTAGGATCATTGCAGCATCATGGTCACATGATCAAAATCCAGGTGCTCGGTGGGCTGAATTACCTGCAAAAGACCTCAAACCTCAAAAGACCTCTAGTCCAACCCTTGTTCAAGGCAGGAGATCCTATACCATCCCACTCAAATGGTTGTCCAGTCCCTTCTTGAAAGTTTCCAGTGATGGAGCACCCACAACTTCCAGTGGCAAGCTATTCCACTGATTCTTTCTCCTGAGTTCTAGGTTGGATCACTCTTTAATGATCTTCCATGCTTTGCTTCTTGTCCTGCCCTCAGGTGCTTTGGAGAGTAGGTTGACCCACCTCTTCTCTGTGATAGCCCCTCAAATACTGGAAGGCAATTATCATGTCCCGTAAATCTTCTCTTCAATAGGCGAGGCATACCTAGCTCCCTCAACTGTTCATCATATTGTTTAGCCCCCAGGCCCTTTATCATTTTGATTGCTCTTCTCTGTGTACAAATATTGTTCTTGGCACACAAAGCAACTAGGTTTTTTTTGGAAATTTCATTAATAGGGTGTTATCTTCTAAGAGAATGGCCCTAGGGTTTGTTTTTTTAAAAACAGGAAAAACAATACAAAACAATAATCTCTGGCTGTCCATTTTAAATGCAGTCTGCATTTGGGTTTGATGCTTCCATCAGTCTTCCTCCATCAAGTGGTCATGTTGGGTTCTTCAGCCAAGAATGGCAGTGGGCAAACACACACACATACCCCAAAAAATGTTGCTGCTGGATTACAACTCCTGGAGGCTTGTCCCACTTGGCTGGGGCTGAAGGATGCTCAGAGTTGTGGCTCTGTGACATCCAGATGGCCACAATTGCCCATCTCACTCACGCAGCAAAACAAGGTAGACAATGTTGGATTTCATGCTGCAGTTTGGAAGAGTGCTTTGGATTGCTTCGTATTTTGGGAGGAAAACACCATATGCCTCCCGCCTCCGAAGCGAAGTACGGAAACTGTGCCGTAGTGCCACAAATAGCATCAGGCAACCTTTAGAGAAAATCAGAAAAAGGTTAGCCCATGCTGTCCACCCTGGGAGGTAGGCCAAATCAAGGAAGGGGCATGGCAGGGAATCCAGGAATGCTCTATGTCAGGGATGTCCAAACTTAGCGAATTTTAAGACTTGTGGACTTCAATGTTCAGAATTCCTCAGCCAGTTAATCATCTCCTCAGGGACTTCAATGGCAGAGGCAGTGTAATGGAAGGGATCTTGGAGGTCTTCTAATCGAACTCTCTCCTCAAGCAGGAAGACCCTATTCAATTCCAGACAAACAGCTGTCCAATTGTTTCTTAAAGCGGGTACAGCAGTGCCTGCATATTCTGCATCGCATGAGAAAAGTACATCTTCCTTCTCCTGTCCTTACCACTTTCTATAGAGGGATGACCGAGAGCATCCTGTCATATTGCATTATTGTCTGGTTTGGAAGCATGACTGCTTCGGACAGGAAGGGGGTGCAGAGAGTGGTGAGGATGGCAGAAAAGATCACCCCCTTCTATCTAGGACAGGGGTGTCAAACTCAAGGCCAACGGGCTGGATCCGGCCTTCAAGGTGTTTAGATCTGACCCACAGGGCCACCGTGGAAACAGCAAAGGATTGGCATGTGGTGTGGCCCTCCCGAGCTCCGTTTTGCTGCCACAGGCACAGCAGGGCTACATTTTTTGCCACAACAGCCTTCTGCAGCCCTCCGCTAGTGAAAACAGAGTTCGGGGGGAAGGAAGGAAGGAAGGAAGGAAGGAAGGAAGGAAGGAAGGAAGGAAGGAAGGAAGGAAGGAAGGAAGGAAGGAGATCATAATGAGAGGGAGGGAGGATCTGAAGGAAGTCCCGCCTTAGTACTTGGCTACCACAGGTGTCCCCGACACTAGTGATGTCAAGCTGGCCACACCCACCCTGGCTCCACCTACCCCATCCATGCCCCCCCTGGCCCCCCTGAGGTCAAACAGAACCCTGATGTGGCCCTCAATGAAATCGAATTTGACACCCCTGATATAAGCTATGCTTGAGCAGGGTCCACAGGATTACCTGGGATGCCACACATCCTCTTCATAACCTGTCTTCCTTGTTACCTTCTGGGAGGAGGGGGATTTGTAGTACCCGAGGCAGAACATCCAGATTCAATCACAGTTTTGTTCCATGCAGCATCAACCTTGTGAATTCTCAAGCTTCCTCTTTCTGCTATGTATTCAAGATGGACAGTGGTTAATATTAATAGGTATTTATATGTATGGCTATAGATGTCAACATTCCAACTAACCAACTCCAAACCAATAAACTCTAAGACAAGCATTTCCTCAAAGTTCCATTTTATTAGAGTTGTCATATTGGCACATCTGGGAAAACCCGAATCTGAGAGTTCTGGGTTTTCCATTCCCAAAAGAGAAATTGAAGATCCCTCTCTTGCACCCATCAGTCCATCACATGGCCCAATCAAATCTTCACCCCAAATGTAGACATCCTCCCAGTCACTCCCCTCCAGGTGCTTGGCAACATGTCCTTGACTGTCTGAGAAAGTATGTTGTTGAGTCTAATCTTCCACCTCTCTATGAAATCCCCCCCCCTCCCAAATTCCCAGGCACTGAATGTGGCAGCCTTGAAGCTTCCAAGTGAATATATGGCTTCCAAGGCTGACAGTAGGTATATACATATGCTTGTATATAGCATGTTTATATGTGTATATGTATGTGTGCACTTTTGTGAGCAGGCAATAGAATTTCTCTTTGAACGTTTGCCGGTGTGCCCACAGTAAAAAAAAAAAAAAAAAGAATGACAGGGTTATCTTAAAAACCTCCAGTGGTGGAGCAACCACAATTTCTGGAGGCAAGCTGTTCCCATGATTAATTGTTCTGGCTGTTAGTTCTAGGGTTGGATCTCTCCTTGATCAATTTCTATCTGTTGCTTCTTGTCTTGCTTTTGGGTGCTTTGCTTGTCCCGCTCTTCTTTGTGAAAGTCCTTCAAATATTGGAAGACTGCTATCATGTCATCCCTAGTCCTTCTCTTCATTAGACTAGACATATCCAGTTCCTGCAACTGCTCATGGTAATCATCTTCGTTGCTCTTCCCAGCACTGTTTCTAGGGTTGCCACGTCTTTTTTTGTAATGTGTTGACCAAAACCGGAGGTGGTATTCCAAGAATTGTCTTACCAAAGCAGTGTAAAGTGGTACTAACACTTTACGTGACCTGGATATACTGTCCTTCTGTTGATGCAGCTGGAGGACTGTCCTGGCTTTTTTTTTGGCAGCTGCAGAAAACTGTTGGCTCCTATTTATTTATGATGGGGGGAATTGCTGTGTAGAATTTGCTTGGGCATCCCTGCAATGCCAGTAACCGGATTTTGGGTTTCAGGTCATTCGAGATATTTTACTCATCGGGCACCGCCAAGCCTTCGCCTGGGTGGACGAGTGGACTGGTATGTAAGACCTTGGGGTCCATGATGGAGGAGGGTGGGAGGGAGAAAAGGGAGGAAAGCCCATGTGGACAGTTGCTTTGGTCTTCCTTTTCCATGGGAATGTGCCTTTTCCTCAATTTCCCCATGATCAACTGTTTTGCCTTAGAGCCTGGTCATTCAACCGTCAACCTATGTTGAATTTATGTAGTGTTTCATTCATCAAGACCCCACACACCCACTTCACTGTCTCTGTTGCTCCCCTCTGAGAGAAGGTTTTCGAAGTCATCCTAGCAGGACTTCCAGATTCTGTAACCGCTTCATTCCCTAGGCCATCCGCCTGGCAAACTCACAAGGTTCATTTTTCTTGCCATGTACAGGTATACATTTGAACTAGACTCTATTTATCTGTATTTATTTATTTATTCTGTTATATTATGTAGTGTATATTGGAGGTGGTGACTCTTTGAGAGCTGTATGCAACAAAAGTTCACTTTAATGTATGCCGATTAGTGTACATTCAAAGTGACAATAAAGTTATTCTATTCTATTCTATTCTATTCTATTCTATTCTATTTTTTGTTCTCTATTCTTTATTCCAATATTCTAGTTCTATTGTAGTTCTAATTCTATTCTTATTCTATTCTATTCCATTCCATTCTTCTATTCTGTCCTGTTCTGTTCTGTTCCGTTCCATTCCATTCCATTCTATTCCATTCTATTCTATTCTATTTTTTCTTTCCAATTCTGTTCTTTCCTGTTCTATTCTATTCTATTCTTCAATACAACCCACTGACCACCCTGTGTTTCTTGGTGCATAATCCAGAATGTGAGTTTGGTGTTTTTTTTTATCAATGTCCACCCATTAATCCATGGAAGAAGCTGTGGGGCACTAGTTATGTATTAAATTCCCCATTTCTGCGTATGCAATGAGACGGTTGAAAGCAACTGATCAATGCTTCTGAGTATGACTTTGACATAGCCAGTGTTTCCTGCCCCCTCCCTCCCAATAGCAAAGCATGGAGTTGCGTTGAATAGTGAGATGGGCAGCCTATAAATTTAATAAATACATAAATAAATCAGTGATGCCAAGGAAATCTATTTCAAGCATTCAGAAGAATCTCCAGCCCAGCTCATTTGCTCCCGAAATATTTAGAGCTCTCCTTTTTTTTATTTTATTTTAAAGAGTTCTAAGTGGGCTTGCAATCGTGCTTAAAAAGCAAGCAAAGCACCAGACTTTTCCATTAAAAATCTAATGGAATTCAACCAAAGATCATCGTTAAGGTTGGTGGGGGGGGGGGGGAAATAAGCGTGGGATTTATCTGCTGGAACAAATTAGAGCTACCGAATCTAGCAGGATGTTTCAGTGGGAAACCTGCTTTGCGGTTTTGGGTTCAAGACATAAACTTGTGATTCATTCAAAAACATATTTCACCCCGCTGAGCTTCTTGAGATCGTAGCTGTGCCTCAACCTGTCTCTTGGAGCTGAATAATGAATCTCCTTCCTCAATTTCTTTGAAAGTTGTTGGACTCCTGAGAGCAAGCAGATTGCAGAAAATTATTAGGCCTCCTCACCACAATTTTTGGAACAAAGTTTCCTCTTTTGCTTTCCTAACAGGCTAACCTTGCCTCTCAAGTCAGTTATTTTCTTCAGTTTGTCTGTTGTCCCTGTTGTTCTGCTATTTGACTGTGTTTTACTTATATGCTGTGACGTCTTTCATATCATGCTATTCAGAGGTGGTATTCAGCGGGTTCTGACCAGTTCTGGAGAACCAGTATCGGAAATTTGGAGTAGTTTGGAGAACCGGCAAATCCCACCTCTGACTGGTCCCGCCAACCCCATCTCTTCTCTGCCTCCCATTGAGTCCCAGCTGGGTCTCCTTTGGTTGCCCTGCACAGGAGAACGGAGCTGGGAAGCAGGTTATTGCGGTGGGGAGGGAATGGGGATTTTACAGTATCCTTCCCCTGCCACACCCACCAAGCCACGCCCACAGAACCGGTAGTAAAAAAAATTGAATCCCACCACTGATGCTATTCCCACTACTTCCTGCTCTTGTGGTTCCTCAGCACACCACCTTCCAGGAACAAATGGTTCCTAGACATTGTAACACTCCACCTGGGAAGGTCCCACAGCTGTCAGGCCAACATCTTCTTAAATGTCCCAGCATTCCCTGGACTGTCCGTACATTATGGGATTTCATGAGGAATTTTGAATTTTGTCAGGGATGACTGACAGGTGTGGAGAGTGGTGAAATGGCCTAGAGGTGGAGCTCTCACCTCACAATCAGGACCTGGCTGTGAGTTTGATCCTAGGTAGCGGCAGATATTTCTCTCTCTGCGCACAATGAGATTGTTCGCCGCCCGATTTTTGAATTGTGACCCAATTCAAAAATTGGGTGGTTTTTTTTTGTTCGCCACCCAATTCCACTGTATATTGAAAACAAGAGTATTTTCCAGGAAAGTGGGTCCCATGTTAAAATAAGGCAAGGGGGAGTTTGTTAGAGGACCAGCCGTTTACATTTAAAACAGCTCTTTGAATGGAGAACACGCCAAGTCGGAGCCAGTCCTTCCAATGATCTCATTCTGGCGTTCCACTCTCCAGGAGCACTTGATTTAATACATTATTTGATTAATGCTTAGATCAGCCCCTTTTCCATTAAAGCACACCATATTAATTTGGCAGGTTGCAAAGGCTATTTGAAAAAGAGGTTTCCCTGAGAGCTTCTATTTATTTAATGGGTATGGGAGGGAGAACAGAGGTTCTTGGTTTGAACTAGGCATCTATTGCCCAGCCATCAAAATATATTTATATATAAATATGTTTACATAGCTGCACTTAAAAGATAATTTAACAGGGTAATAGAGTTGGAAGGGACCTTGGAAGTCTTGTAGTCCAATCCCCTGCTCAAGCAGGAGTCCTTATACCTGTGATGGTGAACCTATGACATGCATGCCAGAGGTGGCACGCAGAGCCCTCTCAGCCAGCATATGCGCTGTTGCCAGCTGGTCTGCTGGTTTCTGACAATGCACATGCAAGGCCAGCCAGCTGGTCTTCGTGGCTGCTGGAGCACTGGAAAATGGCCTGAAATTCAGCCAAAAATGAGGCCATTTTGGGGGTCAAAAATGCCCAGAAAATGGCCTGAAAACTGCCTGAAAAATGGCCTGAAGATACCTCAAAAAACAGCCCCAAACACGCCTCTTTCCAGGCTGTTTTTGGCCAGAAAAATGGCCAGAAAATAGCTTGGAAAATAGCCCCAAGACCAGGCATGCACACAGTGGCCAGCTGGTCTTCAGTTTTCCATTGCACATGCACGCACATTCCGGTTTGGGCACTTGGTGTTAAAAAGGTCTGCCATCACTGCTCTATACTATTTCAGACAAATGGCTATCTAATCTCTTCTTAAAAGCTTTCAGTGATGGAGCAGCCACAATTTCTGGAGGCAAATTGCTCCACTGGTTAATTGTTCTCATTTTTAGGAAATTTCTCCTTATTTCTAGCTTGCTTCTCTCCCTGGTTAATTTCCATCCATTGCTTCTTGTCCTGTGCCCTGGTGCTTTGGAAAATAGGTTGAACCCCCTCTTCTTCCAACTCTGTTACTCTGTTAATTATTGGAACACTGCTATCACCTCGCCTCTAGTTCTTCTTTTCACTAGACAAGCCCAATCCAATTCCTGCAACCATCCCTGTAGTTTACCTGTCTTTGGTCCAACATAAGTCTTTAGCTCATTTCCTTGGGGGAGAATACACACAGGAATACCATCATGAGAAAGAAAAGCAGACAGGGTATGACGTTTATTGCATTCAAATAAATCCAAATTCTGTACTGAAGTTACGTTTGTTGGAGTACATATAAAGATCCCAATGAAACCGCATCTCTTTTTCACCAAGGATGCTGGTAGTACTGATGGGAAGAAGTTCTGGTGTCCTTCTCAGCTAGTTTGGTCAAGTTGAAGTTGGGGAGGGCCACACCTGTGCATAAGTTGTGAATTTATGACAGTTGTAGCATCCCTGGATCAAGCGATCACCGTTTCCAATTTTTCCAGCCAGCTTCCAACAAGCAAAGAAGCCAAATTTGTCTAAAGACCTCATGATTCACTTAACAAGCATACCGAAAAGGTTGCAAAAACTGGGGACAACTTGGCTTAACAATCCCACCTTTCTTAGCAACAAAAATTCTGGTTCCCATTGAGGTTGTTAAGTTCACTACTGCTAGTGGACAGCAGGGATGAGTCCTCGTAGGCCATAAATATTTGTCCAGTTTTCTTTTTCACACCCCCAGACATTTCTGGCCAGATTGTTCATCCAGCAATAGAAGACAGCTTAAAAACAACAGTGGGTTCCTCTCCATGAATGCACCTCCAATCCAGGAGTGGGCTTCGAAAATCCCAGCCACAGGTTCTCTGCCATGGGCATGGACATGGTGGGCGTGGCCTACTGGAACTTCGGGGAGGCCTTTTTCCTCCCTCCCCAGGCTCCTGAGGCTTTCCTCGAGCCTCTGGGAGGGCGAAAGTGGCCTCCCTCGGGCTCCGGAGGCTCTTTTGAGGCCGGAATCAGGCCCATTTCCAGAGGTCTCACCCAATCTCTTCTGGACCCAGGTGTGAACTTCAATGGAAGACCAGCCAGGGGTGGGATTTGGCAGTTCTCCGAACCAGCCATAACCTTAGCAACAGGTCCACTCGAACCCGGGCAAACCCATAGCTGCCCAGCCCTGCTCCATGCATCTCCTTTCTTTGATTTTTGAGAGTGATTTTTCATCCCCCACCCCTTCGTAAGAAGCAATAAGGCGGGTGGGAGGGGTTGCCAAGCAGCAGGTGTTCCAACTTTTCAGAAGAATGAAACAGTGTCTTCTCAGAGGTCTAACAAGCCACTGAAACTCCAGATGGTTTGCCCTTCTCGGCAGATTTTTTCCTCTCCTTGGTTTGCTTCAAGTTGACAGCTCATGGTGGTTGGTGGAGTTTTGTAATGCAGGAGAAAGCTTTGATTAAGTTTTGGAAGCCTTAGGGTTGATAGATCTGGAATAACTCCCAAGCCCGATTCATAAGCTGGTTCTCCAGGATAAAACAGCATGATCAGGGAGGGCCTTCCGGTTTGAGCTTCTTCGGTGACAGACCAAAACCTCGTCTCTCCGAGGCTTCGATCCGTGCTCACCGCTGGAGCGCCCCGAGCCGGCTGGTTTCGGGGCTAAGCCACCCCGTAGAGGTGGTGAAGAGGGGGGAGACTGCCTGCAGGGTTGAGGAGAGCTGCATCTCTCTTCCCCAGCTGGCCATTACTCCCTTTCCCGAAGGCGGTTGTAGTGGTGGTCAGAAATGGCCACCACAAAGAAGAACTCGACCGGAAAAGAATGTGCAGGAGGAAAATAAGAAGAGAAAGTTTTGGTTGACCGGGTCAAACAGCAAAAGCAACAAACACTGGAATTTAAACTTAACAACATTGTTCCCAAAGAAGATTTTGAAGCTACGAAGGAGAGAGAGAAGGGAAAGGATTAGGTTTCTTTTTCTTCCCTTCCTTATACTGACAGCTAAGAGACTTAAGCAAGAAACTGAAAAAAAATCCACTTTGACATTAATAGGCATCTAAGCTGAAAATAAAAGTCAAGGGGATAATAAAGATTTCTGGACATTTAAAAGTTTTTAAAAGCTGGTAAGGAGAAAAAAAAAGAATAGAAGGGCAGGATCTGGAAAAATGGAGGAGACTGTCTGGATTTCTGGAACTCACCATCTCCTGGTGATTGGTTCAAAGTCATCCAGCTGATTTTCATGGCTAAGGTGGAACTAGAACTCACAATCTCCTGCTTTCTGGCTTTATAATTAAATGTATATGCCACCCAACCCACTATCCAAAGCAACAAAGCAAATGTCTTTGGCTTGCTTCCATTTGTCTCCACTCACTTACCTCCCCCGAAGCACATATTTCTGAAACAACCTTCTTTGAGTCCGTATCCTTAATAACCCTTGCCCCAAATATGCATATTTCGATCGATTCAAAGCCATAAACCTGGATGAAACAGATAAATTAAGAACTATTTTGCACATCCCTAATTGCATGATTTTGACCTGAACGTCTTCGAAGGTTTCGCTTTTATATCTTTAGACATCATCTTCTTTTTGTAGATGCGTTATTATTTCTGTTGATAAGAATTACCTCTCACATTTTCACTGTTAAAAGAATTATAAAGAATGGTAGCACAGGATGGCTGAAACAGCTTCCCCATCCTCAAAGCATTATGTAATTGTACAGTATGTGCCGAATAAATATATTTAATCTAGCCTGTTACACACGAGATTTCATGTGTTATATTAAGCAGCCTCGTGAGGTTATTCTGCAGATTGCTTACAGCATAAAATGCAAAACTGTCTTTGAAAAGGCAGCAACATAAAATAAGCATTTTCCGTGCAAACCCCTTCAGGGAAAGTAGATGAATTTCAACAGAAGATTATCGCCTCTCATTGTAATTCTACATCCTCTACTTTTGTGAGCAATTTGTTTTTAAGTCACTTATAATTCCAAAATTTTAATCCGCCGAGCAATGGGGCCCATAAATTTATTTTTCCTCACGCCAAAGGCTCTTAACAATAGGAAGGACATGGAAAACTTATTTCTGTCCTCCAGCCTTCAGTTTCCACATAATAGGTATGTAATTTGAGAGAACACAGATCTCAAAAAATATTAAGCTTTGTCTCAGTCAACTGATTAGATGTCAAGGCTTCTTGGCAACATTAATAACATCAGAGGACAGATTGAAAAAGAATTTTAATGAGGTGTTATTCAAATGCAAACTCAATCAATAGCGAAATCCAGATTTATATTCTTGTATCTCCACTTCTCACTTCCAGGATTGGATAGATCTGATCCAGTGGTGGGATTCAAATATTTTTGACTACCGGTTCTGTGGGCGTGGCTTGATGGGCGTGGCAGGGGAAGGGTGCTGTAAAATCTCCAGTCAGAGGTGGGATTTGCCGGTTCTCTGAACTACTCAAAATTTCTGCTACCGGTTCTCCAGAACCTGCTGAATTCACCACCTCTGATCTGATCCTCTTCTGGTTTTTGAAGGGTTGAATTGAATCCTTGACTCTTGTTTTGTTTTTCAAAATTTTATTAGTTTATCCAAATACAAAATACAAAGAAAAAGGTAAGTAACGAGAAAGTCGGGGAGGAACAAGGGAAAGGAAAAAGAGTCGGGTAAAAGGAAAAAGGAAAAAGAAATGTGGACTTCCAATTCTTTTTAGCATGGTAGAATAAGGTAATTATTATATTCTGGGCATGGGCGCAAGGAACGGAGACGAGGCAGTGAACGGTGAACTTCAACTCTTTATTAACGATCAGGAACAGAGCAAAAACCTTGGGCAGCAGCAGTTCTTTTATGGAGCTGGCTGCTGTCCCATTAACCAATGAATTGCGTTGGAGCGCTTAAACTGTGCCCAATGGGAGACGACTCGCTATTAGCCAATCAGATTGCCCAGAAGAGACCAATCACGATTCGCTATTTACGGGCCAATCCGAAGTGCAGGATTACGAGCCTGCTTTTCTACTAAGGTTGTCAAGCTTTATTAAATGCATTTACTTAGTTCATAACAGTAATAGCATACAGCCTCAACTTTTTTTACTTGGCATGATAGCCCTCAAACTTACGACTACAACTGAGCCCAAAATTTCTGCTCTTAAATGAGACATTGTTAAGTGAGTTTTGCCCCTTTTTACGGATTTTTCTTGCCAGTGATTAAGTGAATCACTGTAATTAATAACATGGTCCTTAAGTGAATCTGGATTCCCCATTGACTTTGCTTATCAGAAGGTCATAAAAGTGGGTCATATGATCCTGGGACACAGGAACAGTCATAAATATGAACCATTTGTCAAGAATTTTGATCACATGACCAAGGGGATGCTGCAATGGTCATAACTGTGAAAAATGGCCATATCACTTTTTTCAGTGCCGTTGTAACTTTGAACAGTCACTAAACGAACTGTCAAGGACTACCTGTACTATATACTAGTCATTTCTATAACCTATCTAATCAACAAAACCCAAAATAAATGTTGCTTTTCTTTCCACCTCAAGCACAAAGTCCAAAAGTGGTTTCCAAGCAGAAACAAAAATTAATTGTATTCTTTTATTTAATCAAAGCAGTCAATTTAGCCAACTCTGCTAATTCCAAAAGCTTTTGCAGCCAATCACCCATGGTGGGAATTAAGATATCTTTCCCATTTGTACATAGAAAAGAACAGAATAAAATATTGGAATGACAAATAGAATAGAATGAAATGGAATGGAATATGGAATAGAATAGAATAGAATAGAATAGAATAGAATAGAATAGAATAGAATAGAATAGAATAGAATAGAATAGAAGTACAGTACAGTACAGTACAGTAGGAATAGGAACACAACACAACAGAATAGAACTAAAACTAGAACTAGAATATTTGAATGAAGAGTAGAGTAGAGCAGAGCAGAATAGAATACAGAGCAGAGCAGAGCAGAGCAGAGCAGAACAGAACAGAAAAGAACAGAACAGAACAGAACAGAACAGAACAGAACAGAACAGAACAGAATAGAATACCACACAATATAATACAATGGAATAGCTTTATTGTCACTTTGAATGTACACTAATTGGCATACATTAAAATGAAATTTTGTTTGCATGCAGCTCTCCAAGGATCACCACCTCCAATATACACTACATGAACATGACAAAATAAATAAATAAATAAATAAATAAATAAATAAATATGTACCTACGTATGTTGTATGACATGGAGAAACAGCACAGTCTATTTTGGATGTATACGTGTACATGGAAGTAGGTAGAGCGGGTGCCATTTTGTTTCTCATCCAATTTGGGAGCCAACCTACCTGGACCACCTTCTCTCATCCTACAGTGGTGCATCTTTTCTTACGCTGTTCCCTCTTCTGTGCTACCTCCCTACAGGCATGACCATGGATGAAGTCCGCTTATATGAGAAGGAGACCCAGCAGGCCACCAATGAGATTGTGGGCATCATGACGCCCACCATCTCCATCAGCGAAGTCCAGCTGCCCCCCGGTACTCAGAGTGCCCCCTCCAGTGCCCCCTCCACGCCACTCAGCGGAGAAGCCCCCGAGTTCCTCCATGCGCCCAAGGACCGCCAGAGGAAAAAATCCGCTCCAGAAATGCTCTCGCTGCCAGTGCTGCGGGAACATTCCAACCTGGAGTAACAACCGCCTCATGTCCAGAGTCCCTATTCTGATCCTTGCAAAGGAGGCTCCCTAATTCATTTTCCCCGAAGAGGATCCGGTGTCCCTCGTGTTTTTTTTTTTCTAAATTGTTCTTTAATTCCAGGCCTTGCCTTGTATCCAGCAAGAGAGAACTCCCGTTGATGGGGGCAATTGTTAAATGGTGTGGGTGCCTTGGGAGAACTTGGGGGATTCCACCAGATCTTGGAAAGAGCTCCAAGCCTTCTGATCTGTCCCCAGGTCCTTCAATATCACATTCCTGGCCATGTCTTTGTTGCCTTGGGCCAAAAGGGTATTTGCGGGGGGGGGGAGGGGGGCATACCATTGGACCATTGCTTGGCCTTCTAGCCTACATGGCTCAGCCAACCAACATAAATTGGGATCTCCTCTCTCTGTGCAGGGGGAGGAAGCATTGGGCATGGCTCTGTTGCAGATGGAAAGCTGGGCAACATAAATCCCATGCCAGAAAATCCACCCTGGAAATAGAGCTGTTGTGAAGGGAGGCTAATTCCCCATTAGATCACATGTTCTTGCCTCCTGCTTTAAGGAAAGGCAATTATGTGTGTGTGTGTGTGTGTCCACATATGAGTTATATCCACAACTAGAGAGTACAAATAATCCAGATGCTAAAAGCTCCGTTAAACTTACAGCGATGGCTCCGTTAGACAGCCTTTAACAGCCATAGTTCAGCATAGTCTTCTTGCACCAGCCCTGCAAAAAAGGTGTCCTCTGAAGCCACCCAGAAGGTCTTCCATTGAAGTTCACACCTGGGTGCAGAAGAGATGGGGTGAGACCTCTGGGGAAAATGCCCTGCCTCTTTGTTGAAGCCCACTGTTTGCCAGACAAGAGGAAATTGTCAAAGGAAAAGAGGACATCAAAGGAAGATGGGTAGCCCCAACCATCACTTCTTCAGGGTGGCCGTTTTGTGGGCCCCAACAATTTGCTTTTGATCTGCTTTCTCCCACCCACCCACAATTTTAAAGCAAAGCAAAGGCTGAAAGGCATTTTCGCCTTGTACACTGGTAAGCCACTTGACTAAATGCTTTCCTGCTGTTTCAAGCAGGTAAAAACCTAGCTAAGTTCCCTTCGCATGCTGGTCAGCTGCATGTTACCATTGAGAGTCATGGTGGCACAATGGTTAGAATGCAGTATTGCAGGCTGCCCACTGCCAGGAGTTCGATCCTGACTGGGTCAAGGTTGACTCAGCCTTCCATCCTTCCGAGGTGGGTAAAATGAGGACCCATATTGTTGGGGGGCAAGAGGCTGACTTCTGTAAACTGCTTAGAGAGGGCCGTAAAAGTACTGTGAAGTGGTATATAAGTAAGTGCTATTGCTGTTTGCCAATAACTACAAGTAAAGAATTGCATCGAGCATCTGAAACCCAAGTATTGCAGGCTCAACTGGCAAAGGATTGCTCAAAACCATGTTGATTGGAAACATGCAGAAGAACAGGAATTCATCCTGCAGTGGATAGACAATAGCTAGAATAATGATGATCTGGAACCCATTCACCAATCTGGGTTGCATAATGACACATTTCTGGTTCTTAGGGGAGAAGAGATTACAAAGTGACATTAGCAGTATCGCTGTGTTATTTCAGAACAGGAATAGGCAAGTGACATTCTCCAGATACTTTGGACTACAATGAACAATGTGTTGACATTGGCCGAAGTTGATGGGAGTTGAAAGCCCAAACTTCTTTAGGTGCCTTCCTGTCACTTGCTTTGGAAGTTGGGTCATGGTAGGTATTTTAGAAGACCTGGGAAGTGCCTCTTTTCATCCGTGGCCTAACATCTCCAGAGAGAATTCAGAAAAAAAACAACAGCCTGAATAACTTCCATAGATGGCAGAAGACTGCAACCAGACTTGAAACTTTTGGGTCTAGTCCCAAAACGATGCAGAATGCAATACAGACAGGATTCCTCCCGATCATTCTGCAGCCAGAACTCAAGTCTTTCCTTGCTAACTAGCAGTTCTCAGGTGGATGAGAATCCCAACAGCCAGATCTTCAACTAAGGTGTCTTAAATTTGTGGGATTCTCTTGGGTCTATTGGAGACTTCTCCAACACCATGCAGGCCTATAAATGCATCCTCTTGAGTCTTTGGCAATTCGAACCATCGGGTTTATTTCCACGGCAACTGATGGCCTCTTTTCTCCATGGCTCAGGACCTTTTCACAGCAAAGGTACCTTCTGGTGGTCCATCAATAGGACCAAAGCATAATGCCTTGTGGCCAACTTTCCCACCATTGCTAACTGCCCTTACTGGGAAAGGGGCCTCTGCTGTCCCCAATTCCATGGACATCAGCCCTTTCTAGTCTTTGTACAAGCACAATTTGTATTTGCACTGTTGTGTGCAGACAGTCCTGCCTTCCCTTCTGCTGCTTAAGCATTGATTCTATGTTTATGTGGGTGGGTTTGTGTTCCCTTTTTCTTCTCTCCCCTTCCCTGTAAGCAAGTTGAGAAGCTGTATCTTCAGTCCGCAAAAATAGGGAAGGATTCTAGAGGCAAGTAGAACAATAACACGTTCACAACTGAGAAGCAAGAACTCAGTGTCTGAAGTTGTTCACATGTACGTTTCTGGATTCCAGGGTCCACATAGGAAGAAAGCAAAGTTGTGGTAGATACAGAATTGTTTCTGCTCAATATCTGTTGGAGGCACTGTGGGTTGTCCAGATCTATTCTCTTGACCTTCTGGTGGATGCTAAACCACCAAGCTCATCTCAATCCCCCTTACATGCAGATTTGGGGGAGTAAATGTTGAATCCTTTCAAAACCGTACACTTCCAAGATTTGAAGAACCCAAATATCAACCCAGAAGAACCAGAGACTCTTCTTAAAACCATTAGTAGCCTCTACTCTGCAAGACCTGATTAAGAATGAACTTAGCCAAAAGAAGAGAAGTAGGAAGAAAAACCCTGTAAATATTTTGTGATCCATGTGGCAATTGTCTTGTATGGTTTTGCTTTTGTTTTTTGTTTTTTCCCCCCACTGGGGCGATAAAGGCTGCTTCTGACAGAAAGCTGTCCTGTGATTGTTGAATTGTTTTGACACACCTGTGAAAGGCACGAGGCATTAGCAAACAACCGCTTCACCTCTCTCCTCTCTTGATACGCCACAGAGTCACTATCTTCTCATTTATCTTCAGAGCTCACAAACGGTGGGGGTCATTCTTTGGAGTCATTGTGTAGTTTTCTTAAGCTTTTTGCTTAACACAAGGTACAAGTCCAGCATATGGTGAATAAACAGCTGATTATCACTTAGTACATGGGATGAGGTGAGAGGCGGTCATTGACAGTCTCTGGGAATGGCTTCTGAATCTGGGCTTTGCTAGAATCTTCGGGTTCCAGGCAATCTTGACCTGAGATCCTGGGGCCTCATTCTGACATCTAGACGAGACCTGAGCATTTTATGGCTCACGGGCCACATCCAGCCTTTTGGCTGTGCTGTTTGGCCCACAGCAATGCCCCTCCATAACAGTTCCAGTTTCTCATGCAGCCCCTTAATTAATTGTCCACCCTGACCTTGAGTAGCTGCTAATCCATTATTCCAATATTTCTGAACCTTAACAAGTTCAAGATATGCAATGGTGACCAGTGGTGGAATTCAAAAAATGTTACTACTGTTTCTGTGGGCATGGCTTGATAGGCGTGGTGTGGCTTGGTGGGCATGGCAGGGGAAGGATACTGTAAAATCTCCATTCCCTCCCCACTCCAGGGGGAAAGTTACTGCAAAATCCCCTTCCCACCCCACTAACCTGCTTTCCAGCTCCCAGTTCCTGTGCAGGGCAACAAAAGAAGACCCAGCCAATCAGCTGGGACTCAATGGGAGGCAGAGAATTGATGGGGTTGGTGGGGTCAGTCAGAGGTGCTATTTGCCAGTTCTCCGAACCACTCAAAATTTCCGCTAACGGTTTCTCCAGAACTGGTCAGAACCTGCTGAATACCACTTCTGAAGATGACCCCTAAACTGCACTTAAATGCAAACCCCTAAATGCACCAAAGACAAATTCCTTGTGTGTCCAATCACACTTGGCCAAGAATTCTATTCTATTCTATTCTATTCTATTCTATTCTATTCTATTCTATTCTATTCTATTCTATTCTATTCCAATAGATATTCTATTCTATTTTATTCTATTCTATTTTCTTTTCTGTATTCTATTCTATTCAAAACTCCATTGAAGATGTCACCTAGCCTGGTAATGAAATATTTGTAAATCAACCCACAAGCTTGGAGAACCAACCTCCACCCTCAAGTTCAAGATATGTTGACTTCAATTCTCATAATTCTCCAGCCAGAAGGCTTCTAGGGGAATTCAGAATTCTGGGCATTGAAGTTCACAATCTAAAAGTTGCCACGGTTGAGAAACACTCAACTGGTTCTTGATAACTTCATAAATTTGACTTGGAATCTTGAAGGCAATTCAGTCCAAAGCTAACATTCTGGAAACTCTTGGACCAAGGTTTCATGATGGTCACTGAAACGTAGAATTACATAGGGCTGGTCAGTAACAAAACAGACTGGAGAAAGATCTGCAGCACGTTTTTGCTAAGGACAAAGGAACAACATCTATGAGTCCTTAGATCTTTGCAAGGAAGCTCTAGAGTTTGTAGAACTATTTGCTTGTCTATGCTAGCTCTTGAAGAGAAGAACATAGCAATGTAGTTTTTTAAAAAATTTCGGAATAAGGAATATAGCAATCGTGAGCTCCAGCACATGCACAAATATGCTCCCCGGGCATTCTTCTCAAGATAATTTTAATTAGGATTTAATAAAATGGGAATTTAATTAGTTAAGTAGGAAGTGGGTCCAGCGTAGCATTGACCTTTAACATCAACTTTATTTACAAAGTTGCTTTCCACCTTCGCTGGGTCCTTGTAGGCATTTACCAAAAATGAAAAGTGGGAGTATGTAGTCAGATGCTTAGTTTGAAATTTTGCCCATTATGTATTTAGACATGTAGCCATTTTGAAAATAGAGGGAAAACCAGGAGTGGGATTCTACCAGTTTGCACCTATTTGCTAGAACCGGTTGTTAACATTCTAAGCAGTTTGGAGAGCCGGTTGTTAGAAGAAATTACTGGGCTAATCCCGTAAGGAAGGCAGGAAGGAAACATTCTGGTGTTGCTTACAGAAACTGCCTCTCCGTTAACCCTTATTACATTCCTAGCAGGACTAGACTTCCTGTCTCAGGAACTTCTCTGGAATTTTTTCCCCCTCCTTTGCTGGTACTTTGCTTGTGTGGAGTGACCATTCAAAGTTACAATGGCACTGAAAAAAGTGACTTATGACCATTTTTCACACTTATGACTGTTACAATAGTCATGAGAGGCTAAGTGAGGAGATGCGTGCCTCAATGTGAGTGATATTGAGTTGGCCACACCCAGCCAATAACATGACCACCAGGCCACACCCACCCAGTCACATAACTACCAAGCCACATCCACCACCTAAGCCACAAACATAGAACCGGTTGTTAAAAATTTGAATCCCACCCCTGGGGAAAACCACAAGCAATTGTGTTCCCAAAACAAAGATGTGAATGAGAATATATTGTATATCGATTCATGCAGCCATCCATTAAAAGCAGATGACTTTGAGCAGGAATAACAACATTAACAATTTTCAGATGTGCTTTTTATTTTATTAAATTTTTACATTGCTCAGATTTGCCATTCAATCCTTTCCAGAGTTAATAGAATACCTGGCCCAAAATGTTGACTTTGAAGGGATGCCACAAAGAAGAGGGGGTCAACTTATTCTCCAAAGCACCTGAAGGCAAGACAAGAAGCAAAGGATGGAAACTTATCAAGTAGCCAACCTAGAACTAAGGTGAAATTTCCTGACAGTGAGAACAATACACACTTGCCTCCAAAAGTTGTGTGTGTCCATTACTGGAGATTTCAAGAAGAGACTGGATAACCATTGTCTAATGGTATAGGATCTCCTGCTTGAGCAGGGGATTGGACTAGAACAGGGGTCACCAACCTTTTGGACCTCAGGGTCATAATTTTAAATCCCGCGGACCAGAGACCCTGGGAAAATCCCCAAAAAAGTCTGCAGGAAAATTCCCCACCCCGTTTTCCTACCGAATGATCATTCTTTATTTGGGATCGCAGGATACCGTCTCTAGCTCCGTTCT